AAATTACTGGGTAGTCTAGGGTACTCCATGAATCAATCTAATTGTCTGGGTTCTTTGGATCCCATTGATTATATGCTTTAGTGGCTGGAAGCAGGATTATCTCAGCATAAGTTTTAACCCAAGAAAGGACTCTCATTGGAAGCCTGCCTGGAGGGTAGCCACAGGCTTTTCTGGAAAGGGTGATGTGAGAACCAAGTCTATAAGCCTTGACTATCGCTTTGCTTAGATGTATTGTATCCATTGCCTTACATTTTTTATATGGACCATGAAGCAATACAGGTGAGAAAATAGATTAATTTAAAGGTCAATAAAACCCATAATTATTGGGTCAGGAATTGAAAAGATGTAATTGTATTTGAAAATAAAAGAATAAAATAGAATCATGCGTGAGATAACTACATTAAATAATACTTTCTGCTTCCACTGTGTTCTTTTGAAAGTATATTGTCCTCAGAAGGGAGCTGACTTTTTCTCCTCTACATGGATAAGTGTAGGTCTGAATGAAAAGGGCTTAAAGGAAGATGGATGGGGTGGGGGAGGGGCAAACAGACACTTACTGGCAGGTGGATATGTTTCAAGCCTGATGATTCTCTAGAAACCATTTACCAGGCAGCTTTAAATCACAGCCAGGAGATAGGTGCTGCTTCAGTAACTCAGGTATCATGGTTGAGAGAGGTAAATATGTTCTGTGTGACTGTGTGTGTGCTATACTTCAGGGATTCTTTATTCTGAGGATCTGGAGTTGGGCGCCATGGTCTTTGAATACCATAACATTATAGAATAATTTCTGGGAAGAGAGGCCATGGCTTTTATCAAATTCTCAAGAGTATCCATGATCCAAATAGTTTAAGAGCTGGATGTGGATTCCCAGGAAGGGGTGCCTGGGGAGGAAAGTGGCTGCATAGAAAATCATAGGAAAATATATTCCATCATTTTATATAATGGGTGAAAACTGATGGCTTAAAAATGACTCAAGGATTTGACCTAGAGCCTATTAGAGACATTTAGTTTCAACTTCTAATTAAATATCTAGTCTAATTACCTTATTTTAACATTATCCCTATTCTTACTCTTCTAATCCATCAGCTCATTCCAATCAATAACATTTTCACAGGCAAAACCTCTATAAATTTTAGTGCAGTTCTATTGTTGTTTATAGCACTGATTTCCACAGTATTGTGGATAATTATTTCATATTTGATAGACTTTCAGTATTTACTTATTATTAGCAAGACCCAAACCCAACAAAACTGACTTACAGTTTCAAGATGACAGATAAAGACCTTTATATCCCTTTTCCTTTCAAAATCACACCAAAATAGCAAGGGAACAAGAAATGGATGCACATCCCACCTTTCATGGAATCAGAATTTATGAAGGCAGAAAATGGAGGGAGGATGTTTATAGCTTAGTAGAGAAAGTAGAAGAGCTTAGTAGAGAAAAGGAAGATCTAACCCAAGTGCCTTCGGGGTGAGGGGATAGAGGAAGTGGTACACGTGAGAAACATCCCCTCCAGAACCTATCAAGGCTCAGGATCGAGTGGCATTAGAGAACACAAAAATGAAGTAAAGTGGAGGAAGGGAGTGATGAAAACACTGAATCCCCAAGTCCCCCCCTCCCTCCATGTAGTCAGAGGCCTTCTTCTCCTCACCTATGCAGGAAACCAGAATATTTGCTGCAGAAACTAAACCCCAGACTTGAGAACGCCAGCAAAAGAAAAGTTAGGGTGAGGTACACCCTGAAAATGGGAGAATTCAGTGAAAGTCTACATTCTCAAACATGAGAAGATACAAATCTCTTTTCTTATGTCAACATCCCTGATTATACCATTTCCAGGCAAGAGATTGGGAAGTCCATAGAAAATGAGTTTAGATACTGACATTTGGGGCTTTCCAACAAATGACCAGCTGGCCATCTGGTCACCTTGTGGGAAGGCCCAGAAATCTACAGACACCACTGCTAACCACTGGTATGAGGCAAACATTATAATGCTTTACTCTTAGATGAGCAGACACTCAAGGATATCAGGTATTTGAGGGAAACCAGCAGAGAGAAAAAGGAGTTTAGAGGAAATGGGTAATCAAGGAGCAGAAGAGAATGTCAGAGGAATTATAATTACCTTCAATAAGATAAGAGACAATAATGAGAGAAGAATAGCATGCTATAAGAAAAGGAGCAACAGACAAGAAAATGCTTACAAATTAAAAATACTATTTTTGGAAAGTAAGAAGGAAAAGTCAATATGGGCATTAGGAAAGAAGAGACAAGAAAATAAAGGAATCGATACAGGAGGTCTAATGTCCAATTGGAGCTCCATTCAAATAGGACACAAAAAATAGTGAAAAGGAAACTATTTTGAGGAAGATTACAAAAACATTGTACTGAAGAAACTGAGCCTCCAGGTTGGCCTTACCAAGCCAAATGATGGGGGGAAAAGTCCCAAACCAAAGCATATCTTTGAGAAATTGCCAAACACTAGGGATAGAGAGAAGATCCTAAGAGACAGAAAATCAAATAGCATACAGTATTAGGAATAGGAACTGGATATAATATACTTCTCACAGATGGCTTCAGAAGTTAGAAAACCATAGAGCAGTCTAACTTTCTGAGTGGAAAGGTTGCAACCTAGAATTGTAGGGGAGGCTAAGAATGGAATAAAGACATTTTCAGTCCTGCAAAGCCTCAAAAGTTAATTCACTCCCCCAGTGTTGAAAAGGTAATACCCTTTCTCACGCCGTGACTGGCAGATGTGCTTCTGCGAAATGAGGGAGGAAATGAAGGACAGAGTGTGGGATGCAGGAGGCTTGAGGTCAACCCCAGGAGAGAAAAGCTGGCAGCAGACAGAGAATCCAGACCACAGGGCAGGACCAGGCCACCACAGGAAGTCCCCAGGACAGGAAGGCATCTAAGAAATGATGTGACCCTTTGGAGAGCTGTGTAGGATGTGAGAAGACTCAGACATTCAAAGAAATCATCACTCCAGGAAAATAAAAACATTTACATCAGAAAGGAAACAAGCCTGGGATCCTAGTTGGCTCAGTAGTGCCTATGAATAGAGGGCGGATCAGGAAAGCGCTGTATCTGGATTGCATTGTGAGTGTGGGGGAGGCAAGAGAGTAAGCGTGAAGATCATGGTCGCCCATCACAAGACATCAGTGTTTAAGGGCAAACTCTGACACCTGTAGGCTGGGAGTTGGCCTGCCTCTGCCACATACTAGGCACATTTCTTAGCTTCTCGGTGCCTCTATTTCTTCTTACCTGGAGATAACAGTGGTTTCTACCTTACAGGGCTGTGATGAGAATCAGGTCAGTTAAACAGTTGTAGAGCTCTTAGGGGAGTGTCGGCACATTAGAAGGGCTGTACAGGCACTTAATGAATAACCAAGTGCTAATAATATATACATACTATATAGAAATGTGGTAGAAAATAATCACCAAATTAGGAAAAGATTAGGTGCCTTTGGGAATCAGAAAAGGGGAAGGATAAGGAACTACTGTTTTTGACCCTAAGTCTGTTACTACAATTTGATTTTTTAAAACTATTCAGGTAATACATTGAAGTAAAATAAAAGTAACTTAAAACAAACAGCCAACTCCAAATTTTAAAATGAAGGGGCACACACAGCTTTGATATGGGCTATCTCATCCCCCCCAGCAACCATTTACTAACTTTCCTATTTGCTATGCTAGGGAAATTATATATATTTCTAAATGTAACAAGGAACTCAACTTAATTTTTTAATAGTTTATTGTCAAGTTGGTTTCCATAACACCCAGTGCTCATCCCCACAAATGCCCTCCTCCATGCCCATGACTTCCCTTCCCCTCCCCCCACCCCCATCAGCCCACCCAACTTAATTTTTAAAAATAAAACTGTTGACACAGAAACTTATTATTCAGTTACTTCTGCAATAAAATCATACTTAATTAAAAAATAAAGTTTTCGTTGCTCTAAGAGAAGAGATCCTAGTGGTCCTCAGTTTGGGGAAAAAACGTACATGAAAAAGGAAACAATTTGAACCCTACTTTCCCCTCCTTTTGCCCTCTGGTAAATATTTTAACAAATAATGAAATGGGAAACTTAATTAAGCACAAGGAGGAAGACATAAAGGCTTTGGGTCAAGAAAATGCATAGTCTTGTGTTTCTAGAGGCTACTGTCCCTACTAAACTAACCAAAGGAGAGCAGGAACAAAAGATTCCTGGTTCCGTAATCATATCACACTGCTCCCGTATCTCCCCTATCTCACGCCGAGCATAGGCATTTCATAAGCATGCTACCAGAGGCTAATAAAAAAAAGGATTCTAGGGGCACTAGGGCGGCTCAGTTGGTTAAGTGTCTGACTCTTGATTTCGGCTCAGGTCATGTTCTCACAGGTTCATGAGTTCAAGCTGACAGCACAGAGCCTGCTTGGGATTCTCTCTCTCCCTCTCTCTCTCTGCCCCTCCCCTGCTGATTCACGGGCTGTTTCTCTCTGTGTCTTCTCTCTCCCTTTCTCTCTCTCAAAAATAAGTAAACTTAAAAAAAAAGAAAAGGATTCTGTGTAAGAAGATACTCTACCTCAACCTGGATTGCCAAATCCTCTCTCAAAAATTTTATATATTTTTATATATTTATATTTATATAAAATTTTCTCCTCCTACCAGTAGACACTCCTCGCTGCAGTGTAGAATCACAGAACACATTTTGCTCTGGGCCTCTGCCAAACTGTCACTGTATCTGGATAGTGTGGCATCCTCTCTAAAAAAGGCACAAAATAGTCTGAACTTTGTCCTGGTGTGCCAATGTGGGCCACCATGACAGCCAGCTAATCCATCACTGTGGGGACCTTAGGCTGTGCAACTGACCACCCAACTGACTGTCATCTAAGGGGGGTGGCAGTTAATCATTTCCTTAAGTGATGTGGGTATAGAAACAGAGCTGATTGTTGCTCAGCAGAAGAACCTTATCCATTCACCCTGCCCCGAGTAGTGACTGTGGCCATTTCCCCCTTCTTCCCAGACCGCAGGGTTTCAAGAGATTCTGACCGAGGTGGAAATTTTAGCGGTGATTGTGGGATGCCTGTGTCATGACCTCGACCACAGGGGAACCAACAATGCCTTCCAAGCTAAGTAAGTGTTCTAATTGTTGTTATTTTAATGCATTTGCCTTTCTGTTCAGAGCCAAAGGTGAGGAGTGCTAAAGAGTAAAGCATTAATTTCTGGCATCCGAGGCCAAGGCCACGCAGGCTTGGGTGTGCATGTCATGGGGCTCATCCATCTTTATAATTCCCTATTCTTCTTTTAATTGCAAATTTGCCCTTCATGTCATGCTTGTTGATTTGGTCTGTCTCTGTTGACCTCAGTCAGATAACAAAGCTCAGATTTTAAACGACCTATTTTTTTTTCCTTCCAGAATATTTGCCTTCATGGCATTATAAGCATCTTGGACTTGCTACTCTCAAAATCAGGTTTTGAGACTATTAAAGTAAAAGTGGCCTTTGGAATTTTATGAAGCAAAATATGTTTCTTCTCCCAATATAATCTCTTCCAGGTTCTTTAATGATGGGTATTGTATAAACTGCAGTGAACTAAAGCGACGCTAGGAATAGGGTCTCCGCAGCTCCCATCCCTCCGCCCACAGAAAGGTGGGAAGCAAACAAAGGGATTGCATCAGTCCTGGGGCTGTGTGAGCACATAATGTGCACAGACAGAATAATGTGCCCCTAGGCAAGTTGGACCAGCTGAGATAACTGCTAGTTGGTGGCTCACGCTGTGGTCTTATTTGGAAATAAGACCAAAACCCCGATCTCCTGATGTATAGTGAAGGTCCAGTTTTAGTGTTCTTTTTACTATCTGTTTGCAGACAAAGTGATATGTGGGTTCAGGGACTGGAGCAAAATGTTTGGGGCTGGAAAAGTTAAGAAAGGCTTCAGCAAAGAGGCAAGATTAACTGTCAGATCACTGATTGCCAAGCCCCCAAACAGGTCTACCTCCATAATGTGAACATCAAGAGCCCTCTGTGTCAACAGCATCACTCCCTTTGTTCCCCAAACGTCGACCTATTGGGACCTTGGACTCCTGGCTCCTTGCATATCCTACAATCAAATGAATTTTGATTTTATACACTTTTCTCTGCTTCCTGGATCCTATTAATAGCCCCTCACTTTGACCCTCTCTTCTCAATATCCTAAGATTTCTTGACCCTCTTAACTTTCTGTGACATCCACTCCACAAAAACTCAGCCCCAATTCAATCAAACGATTCAATTTCTTGCTACTCTACCTAGACTTTTATAGGCTTTGGGAGAAAATGTCACAATTGTAAGAGGCGGAGACATACCAAATATGTACTGTCCCAACTCAGCTTGAGCCTCTGTACTCCCCGCAGATCTTTCTGTGTCCCCAGCCAGCCACCCTCCCCCCTCCTTGCTCTTAGCAGTTATGTGGACCAAACTGTTCTCCCTTCCTAAAACACCTCCTGTCTACCACTGCCCCCACACCACTCAGCAGATCACCTTGCCTCCTCCTTCACCGAGAAAATTGAGGCCATCAATTGAACCCTCCCTCAATTTCCTCCCCTGCCATGTAGAAACTTATCTGTCTGGCCCCATCCTTTCACCCTTCCCTCCTATCTCAACCAAAGGGCTGTGCCGCCTCCTGTCTGAGACTTATCCCTCCACCTCGGCTTTGGGGGCCTTCCTTGCCCCCTCCTGCGGGACCCCGCTCCATCAATCTTCCTCCCTCTGCCCTGTGCCTCCTTTCCATCTCTACTAGTGCTCAGCATCCTGTTAATGTCCTGTGAACAATTTTCCACCATCTTGAAGAAGCCCTCCGGCTTCAGTCCTGTTTCTCCCCTTACTTTCCAGTCATTCTTCTTGGAGAATTGTCCCTTCGTTGTCTTCACTTCCTCAACCTTTGCATCCCACATGGTCGTCCAGTTCCACCTTATCAGGGGAGCCCACCACTGGCCCCTGTTCCCAAAGCTGAAGGACACTCTTTTTGGCCTTTTTCCTTGGTATTTCTTGCCATGAGCTGCATTTTGCCACTCCCTCCTTCTAGGAACTCTCCCTTCCCATTGGAGCCCCACAGCCCTCTCAGTCTCAGTCTTTGCCTCTATACCTCTCTCTTTTCCTCTATCCTAGTGAATAGCAGGGCCAGAAATCCACGAGTCACCCGGATTCTCTCCTTAGCACCCCAAAGCTGACATCTCTGCATTCTTGAGTAACTACTGCTTCTTTGTACCCATCCTGGGTTGCTACAGCAAGCAGCCCATCTTCCCTCCTCCAGTGTCCCTTCTCCCTTCTTGGCTCTCAAGAATGATCTTTGTATTTCACGAAGCTGACTAAAGTCACTCTCCTGCTTAAAAGACATTCACTGGCTTCCTGTGACTTTCAGGATAGTGTTCAAATTACTTGGTTTAGCCCCTGAAGGTCCTTTTCATTCAGGCTCCTGCCCATTTTCCTGGCCCAGCACTCCTCCCACCCCCACCCCCATCAATGCATCAGTGTCCCAGATGCAGGGGCTATTGGGACACTCAGTGGGGTCATGTTAATTCACCTCTCTCTGCACCCTGGTATGCTGCTTCCCTATCCTGGAATGCCCTTCTTCTCCTTCTTTCCCCAAACTCCTCCAAAATCACCACCCTCTGGGTTTTATCTCTGAGGTACCGTCATAGTCAGTGTATCTTCCTTTCACACCCTGTCTCCAGCCCCCTACCGTTCTGCCACTTATGCATAAGGAAGAGATAAATGTGTTAGAATTATGTTCATAAATCCAGACTGAGCACCTTGTGGGCTCTTTTAAGAGTCAAGTGCACACAATACTTGTGCTCAGATACCAACATCCCCTTCCAGAGAGAGCCTGTGTATCACACTGAGAAAGGTGGCCCTTTTTGCTAATTGACCTCTTAGGTCTTGGGACCAAGAATACATACCTAATTAAAATCCAGCTAATCATATTTCACCAGCCAGGAAGTCAGAGCTGGATTACCATGATATTGACTCAGTTATCTGTTGAGATCCAAGCTGCAGATCCACAGAGACTTGGGAGCTGTGGGCTGCCATTTTTGGAAAGCCATGATGACATGAAGTAGATAAGAAAAACAAAATGAATCTGCAGAGAGAAGAGAAGAGAGTAAGCATTCTCTTCTCTCAGAAAAAAGAGATTATACAACCCTAGAGACAGAGGAAAAACAGACTTGATCCTTGGCTTTCCACATCTCTACTCCATTTCCAGGAGATCCAGCCACACTTGTTACATCTGGGCATCTGACACTGCCTGAGACAATGAGGAGAACTACAATATATTTGTTGGTTCCTACCTCCTGTGCTCACCACCATACCTGTAGGGTAGATATCTTTGTCTCCACTTAACAGGGAGGGCCTGAGCCCCAGGCAAGTAAGTAACTTGCCCAAATTCATGCATCCAGAATGTGGCACAACAGTGTTTGGACCCGGGCTATCTGATTCCAAAAGTCATTGCTTAACCACCGCATCATGCTCTCTTTCATGACTTTGTATTATTTATTTGGGGCCTTTAAGCTTTCAGTTTATTGGCTGACTTGCCATATATGTGAGCTCTGGAAAACTACAAAATATTTTGACATCCAACAAATCAAGACAGAGCCATTAAAAAAATCCTAGAACTGAGCTAGACCTTGGTAGTCATATTTTTCAACACCTTAACTTTACAAAAATGGAAACTGAGGGGTCCCTGTAGAGACCACTATTAGGCAAACAGGCTTGAGCAACAGAATGTAGAAGGTGCCCATAGTGATCACCTAGCTGAATACAAACCGTCCCATTAGGCGAGCGACTCACCTCAAAATATCCTAACTGACCAATGGGCTACTTACAACCAGGCACAGTTACCAAAAAAGGGAGAATTCCATACATTACCATACCTCCTCATCTTCCCCCTTTAAAAACAGCCCCCACCCACAGCCTCCTTGCAGACAGCCTCTCCCTCTGCTGTCCTGCCCACAGCTCTCTTGCAGTGTATTCAATAAACTTCTATCTCCTTTCTTCTGCCTCAGGTGAATCCTTTCACCACCAGCACCACTGGCTTCCACCATATTGTCACCCCACATTTGGGGACCCCATCTGATAGGACAGACACCCCATTTAAAGACTACAGTTCCCAAGTCTCAAGTGACTGGTGTAAGATTAAACAACTTTCAACATATGAGATAAGGGTTAAGTTGCTGATGGCTGATAATTAGAATTCAAAGTTTAGGAGGTTTGGGGGTTGGTTTTTTTTTTTTTTTTTTTTTGCATCCTTATACCATGTGATCAAATCTGCTGTTCCAAGACAGTCTGACATGTTTCCTCAAGAAGATTAATCCTCTACGCAACTTATCAGCTCACAGGATGTCTATCAGCCCTGCTTTTACCTAAGCGAGTCAATTTTGAACTTAGAATACCAAATGTCACCACCACCCACCCTCTGTTAAAATGTCCTTCAGTAGTGAATACTGAAAGAGACCTTTTTTTTTTTTAATATTTTTATTTTATTTCTAGGATAGAGAGAGACAGCGTGAACAGGAGAGGGTCAGAGAGAGAGGGAGACACAGACTCTGAAACAGGCTCCGGGCTCTGAGCTGGCAGTCAGCACAGAGCCCGACGCGGGGCTCGAACCCACGAACCGTGAGATCGTGACCTAAGCGAAAGTCGGACGCTTAACCGACTAAGCCACCCAGGCGCCCCTGAAAGAAACCTTTTTAAATCATGGTGAAGGGATTGCCTTTTTATTGATTAGAATAACACTTTTTCAGTAAGTGTGCCATTGTTGAGAAAAGCCCTAGGAAGAAATCTAATCCTTATTTCCTTTGTTATTCTACAATAATTGAGTGCTTTTTTTGTGCAAGGCTCTGTGCTAGGCATTGTGGGAGAAATAAAGTATAACAAACAGTCCCTTCCCTAAAAGTATTCACAGTATAATCCCAACCTTTCAAGTGATTTGGAAATAGATTTAAATGCACCAATTATTATGTGGCAAAGCATACAGTACCTCTTATTCATATATAAGGCTATAAAGAAACCAGAGACATTTAGCAAGGGACAAATTACTATATAAAATGCAAAATGCCTGTATAATAAAAAGTTGTGACTTTAGTTATAGCACAATATGATTTATTCTCTTAGCCTTTCTGATGAGTGAACCTTTGCATTTTCATATTTTATTCTTAATTTTTAAGTATTGGAGCGCGTGCAATGAATGATCAATAGGTAGAGAGGGCCACCATACCACCATGCTTGGCAATTGCTCTGTGAACACCTCTCTCCTGTTTTCTCTAGGGACAGCATTTCCCACTCATCCCCCTCTCCATTACGGCTGCCCCCGATGATTAAATATCAGTACCAAGCAGCTTTGTAGTATATTCTCCTAGGAGACTTCTTCTATTCATTTCTAGCATAATCTCTTATACTCATTTATTGGGAATGAAAACCCATCTTGTCGCTTTCGGCCAGGTCCCAGAAGTGAAATCCTGGGGCACATTAATCTGCCGTGACAGCCTAATCCCATTCCTCACGACCTCCCAGCAATTCTCAATTTCCTAATTACCTTTCGTAGTTTTCCTTTTAAAACTTTCCCATAAGCACAGCCCTACACTTCCATTACATCTCTTTTCCAAAGAATATGCATATCTGGAGAACTGATGGACGCTTTTGCACATTTATTTTTTGGTGCCTGTGCAAAGTGTTGAATGCCTGTACGGAAAGAATTTTCACTTTGACTTTTTTTTTTTAGTAAGTTAGTCTCTCCTCAGTGTGTCACCTGTCCAAAAATGATAGTCTTCATTATGTCGGGATGACCTAATCAGCAATGAGAACCATAAACAATCACATGTATATATATTCCTGTGCTCATGGAATTTGGATATATAATACAGATATCCACAATTTGGAGATATAATATATCCATGATTTGTAATATTTTTATAATTATGTAAAATATTATGTAATATATTATAATATGTAATATTTTAATAATTACAGTGTATGTGCCCCAAAGCTCCTATATGATGGAAATACTTAACCACAGACAATTAAAATGGGGGCTGGTATTAAAGTTCATTTGCATGACATTATCACAAAATATGTTAACATACTTATTACTGTCAACCTTCAAGTCTGAACTATAATCTCTAGCCATAATACTTTAAGCTTATTAGGCAAGTAGCTAATTTTTTTTTTTTTACTATTTGTTTTTGAGAGAGAGAGTAGGGGAGGGACAGAAAACGGGAGGGGGACAGAGGATCCCAAAGTGGCTCTGCACTGATAGGAGAGAGTCTGAGGCAGGACTCGAACCACTAACCATAATCATGGTCTGAGCCCAAGTCAGATGCTTAACTGACTGAACCACGTAGGCACCCCATCAAGCAGCTAATATTTTTTTTAAGCACCTATTCCATGCCAGGCAATCAGGTATGATATGCACATAGAACATCCTGGAATTTCAAAAACCAAAACAAAGGCACACAGTGTGCATTTTGAAAAATGTATTTTCATAGAAAGGAACTCTGATAGAAAATAGTTAACTAAAATTAAATATTAATTAATCAGTGGTTACTAAGATTAGCCTAACAATTTTCCACTTATTAAATGGTATAGATTAAGGTAAGATTTAAAGAAATAACACATGCCTGATTAAAATGTAGTACCCCCCACCTTTGCAATTCTATTCATAATTATCCCTATGGAACCTTACCCTGTGTTTCCCCAACATGGGATCAGCTCTGAGTCTCTCCAAGGATTATGGGTCCCTGGGCCCCTGATCTGGCTGTGATCTTGGGCTGCTTCACGGTGGAGATGGAGGGCAGCTTATGACCAAAATCCTTCACATTGCACATATGTGCAGTTCTTGGCTCCTCTCATTAGCAGTGCAGACTGTGAGCTGTCAAGTCTCTGACATTTCCAAGTAAAGGCCAAATTGCCCTTTTAATGTCCAAACTCCCTGGAATGAGCAGGAAAGAGCACAGGGACCTGAATGGGTCCTTAGCCAGAGTCCCATGACTCCATGACTGCCCTTTAAACTATAGGATTCTCTGGATTTCTCTTGACTCTTAAGGTGCTCTAAATCCTAGTCCACAAGAGCTGGAAATAAACACACTTGAATGTGTTCAATGAACACTTTGCTGAACTGATATTGTTGAGAATTAAGTTGTTCTACATAAGCAGAATTTACAGGTAATTCAAAAAAACTTTTTCAAGTACTTAAAATGGAAATTGAGATGGGTTTTAATTGATTTAATAGACTGCAGTCTACTACATGTCATGTATTATGATAAGCATTTCTGAATATTTTATTACATTTTCATAAATAACAGGAGGTCGATAGTATTTTGCTAATTTTAGAGACAAAGAAACTGAGCCTAAAGCACCCAAGTAACTGTCCAAAGCTATTTCCAAGAGCAAGGGTCTGACTTCAAAGCCAGGGAAGTTTCCAGAGTTCTACCCTGAAATATAGTGGGACTGTGAGCTGGGAAATCATAGCAGAAGCTTGTCAGCCTTACCTGGAAAGTGGTTAAATGGACTCTGCATAATATTCCCAAGGGCTTTTCCCCTGGAAAGTCAAATACATTGGATATAGGACACATAGTTGTTGTGTACACTCAGACACTACATACATGATCCCCTGAGTTAAAAATTCTGTCTTTTGTCATCAGATCATCTGAAGCACTTCGATTGGACCTGGTTTCTATGGTATTTGTGTTATGTGCATTATTTTCTCTTATGGCCACATCTCATCTTCCTTACTAGTCTGTACATTTCTTAGCAACATGGCCTGTGTCTTATTTATTGCCATATCATCCACAGGATCTAGCCTAATACATAGAAGTTTTTCGAAAAGTTTACTTCATGGAGGAGTGAAGTACCCAGTTTCCTGAGAATGTATACACTCATGTTCCTTTGCCAAAGCAGGAAAAGCAGCCTGATCCAGAGAGCAGGCATGGGAGAATCATTGGTAGGTGGAAGACCCTGGTCACTTACCCTTCTGTCCTCTTTCAGGAGTGGCTCTGCCCTGGCTCAACTCTATGGAACTTCTGCTACCCTGGAGCATCACCATTTTAACCACGCTGTGATGATCCTTCAAAGTGAGGTACAGACGTAATCCTCTGCTTCTCCCCTTGACAGAAAACCAATACAGTGATGTTTGCTACCTCTTTCTTTGTAGTGCCACAGGTAGATACAGAGAAGAGAGACAAGGTTTTTCAGGCCAAAATGTTGCTTTTCTTGGTGGCTTTTTAAAATCCTTTCAGATGCCTGACCAAGAACCTTATTCAGTTCTTCTTGAGCTGATTCATTTGGGTTTCATGATTGGGAAGGAGACTTTTCAGATTCACTTAGCAGAGGAAACTGCTTACAGCTTGTCACCAGGGCATGGTCTTATCTTCTTTAAGGAGTACAGAAGCCCACTAGCAGAGTCACTTGACCCAAGTAGTGAGTGGCCCCACATTCCATTTTGCGAAACTCGAAGCCATTTTACAAGATGGTAGAAGTAGAAACAGGGTGAGAAAATTACACTTTATTAGCACAATTGAGAAAGCTATAAAAGATAAAAAGAACCCAAGATTGCTGGTGAGAGCAGTCTGAAAGTGAGAATTGCAGCTAAACTTGAGACCCAGGGCGAAAGCCATATGCCTCATTTTGCTTCCTGTCGCAATGCAGGAGTTGGAAATAGTTGGACTTGTGTACTTTTAGCTCTCCACAGAGAAATAGAAAAACCACTAACTGAATCTGGCTGAGGCATCTGAGTTTTAAATTGCCAGGAAAGGATCTGTTTAATTTTCTGCAGGCGTACAGACTTTTTTTTTTTTTTTTTTTGAGGCCAAGAAGGGATCATCTGTTCCCCATTATTTGTCAGTTCTCTAGCTGTGCCATTAATTATTATTATTATCATCATTAAGGCCCTGCTTCGCTGGAATAGCATCATTAAATATGGAGGGTTTTTTTCCTCCAGCCTATCTTGAGAAAGCATGTCTTTTGCAATATCACAAAAGCCTTCTTCGACCCCATAAAGGAGAGTCAGCAATCTGGAACCCGAGTGCGACTGGGGAAGGGCAAGCCCGCTGAGGGAGATGTATTTTCATTTGGGAATGAAACATCAAGGGTTAGGCTCTCAGTAACTCTGACAGAAACCAGCATCCCAGCATCTGCGACTCTGGAATTTTCCTGTGGAAGCCATGTTTGAGCTGAGCGCTATGGAAGAAGGAGGGAGGGCTAGGAGGAGCTTGGAGCTTAGGTACACACTGTCTTGTCTGTACTGGCAGTGTGAGGAGTTTACACCTCTGACCCCGAAACTCCCACCTTTGTAATAATAGGGATTATAAACAGGATGGTAGGGTTTTCTCGGAAGGTCATTTGCTTGTCCCCTGGGAAAAACAAACCCCGCTAACTCAGAATTGGTGTTCATACAAACAAAACACATTGGCTGGCCTTAACTCTGGGGTTCTCTGTGAAGAATACAGAATAGTAATCATGGAAATTCACCCTGAGCAACTGTTGTGTGAGTCATGGTCTGGCTATTCTCCCACACACACCCCTGTCCTGCCCATCAGAAAGGCAAAAATGCACCCCGGTTTTCAAATGAGGCAGAGGCCTGAGGCAAGTTGGTCCAGACCTTTCTCCCTCCACGTTTGGTTTTCGTTCCATCAATACCACTCCTCCATAAATGTAAATGACAGGAGAAGCAGTATTTCAGGGAGACAAATCTGTTTCAGGGACCAAACCCTTGAGGCACTGTAGAAGGCGTATTTGCATGTAAACAATACACTGACTGCAAATGAACTATTTTGTTTTAACAAACCCTATCTGGCTAACTTTATCACTCCGTTAGCTGTAAATTGTGTCAGTTACTCTATGTCCTTTAAAATTGTTAAGACACATTCTCTCACAAAATGATCAAGATCCTCAAATTCAGACCAGCTTTCTCCTGAACTCCACATAGTTTTGACTGTAACTTACTCATAAAGCTATTTTCTGTCACTGGGAGATGCTAGACGTGTGTCTGGGTACAGGTGATGACTATTCCGTGTCTGGGTCCAGGTGATGACTATTCCGTAGCTTCCACCACTTTCTCCCAGGCCCCAGAGCACCAGCCTATAATTGATCCTTGGGGCAAGGCTCAGGCAAAGAAACCTGAGCAGAATTATGCTGTGTCTACCTCTAGTTACTTGCCTTCTTCCTAATGGCTGAATTAAGGGTCTGGAAGAGTTCATTTGAAAATTATTATTAATATTGGACCTGGTCCCACGTGGAACCAATATACTTTGGTCTTCAAGGAGTGGAGGGTTCACCCAATGAGATAAATTAACTCAGGGAAGGAGATTATCATCTGGTGGCTGGTAAGAAGCTATTCGCTAATTGATATTCTGGTTCCCTGAAACAATTAATTTACTTCTTAGTGGAGAATAGTTTATTCTCAGTCATCTGCCCCTTCCTTCTATACCATCTTCTGACTCTCAGCACCAGCTTTAAAACCCCTGGTTCCTGGGCCACATGTTTATGAGTTCATAACTCATGCTAAGAAAACTTGATAAATGAAAAGTCCCTGACTTTCAAAGCAAATTAAATGAATTGTTGGTCACTTTGCAGGATTGTTTCACTTTACTAAAACAATTAGAACTGTCTAAGGTAGCTTAAACGAATTTTGATGAAAAGAAGCATGCCTTCCAAAGGTATGGAGATACAGGTGCAAGTTTTCCTAAGTAAAAGTCATTTAACAGGCCCAAGAACTATGCCAAGAACATTCTCTTATACACTCTAGCTACTCAGTAATTACGTACTGAATTTAATCTACCACATGCTTCATTAGGATGTATCTTCACAATTTAACTCCGGGCTTCTCAAACTCGGCAGTATTGACACGCTGGGACTGTACAACTGTCTTATGGGGACTATCCTATGCACTGTAAGAGATTTAGCAGCATCTCAGGCCTCCACCCACCAGATGCCGATAGCACGCCCAACCAGAGTGACAATAAAAAATGTTTCTAAATATTGCCGGAAGTTCCTATTGCCAAAATCACTCTCAGTTGAAAACCACTGGTGTAAGGTTTCTTTCTCCTCCTTGCAGTCATCTGTTGCCATAGCAAGTGCTTCCAAAATGCCAACTTAAGTCTTTATTAGTGAAACGAGTATTCATTTTAGGGTCAGAAAGATTCTCAAATTTTGTCAATTTCTACACTCAGCAATTCCACAGGAAATGGCAGCCAAATGGAGTTATTGGCACAAGCGTATCCATAGTAACACAAGTTTAAACATTTTCAGAGTCTTCTATTTAGGACTAATAAAGTCTCATAAAAGATAATAAAGTGCCCCTTGGTGGTCGTCCTCGAAAATGATTGCACTTTCTGGCTTTGCTGTGTTTTCCAGAGAGTCTGTTTGTATTTGTACAAAATTTTATTAATTTTTTTTAAAATGGTTTTATCATGTTCCCATTCTTTTTTCTTTTTTTTTTTTAATATGAGACACATGTAATTGACGATCTCAGATTCAATGTTGTCTTTGTGACTTTTTTCTTTCTCATTACAGGGTCACAACATCTTTGCTAATTTGTCCTCCAAGGAATATAGTGACCTTATGCAGCTTTTGAAGCAGTCAATATTAGCAACAGACCTCACGCTGTACTTTGAGTAGGTATTGGCACTTGATCTATTTGACAAATGGATATCTAAAATTTCATCCTATAATTAATTTTCAAGTCCATGTTGCGGGTCGCCTGTTATTCTACCACTGGTATCAATGTGTAAATGAGCTAAACTTTTTGTGTTGTTTTCCCCTTATCTAAATGAACTTCACTAAGGTGGTGTCTTCAGGACAAGAAAATCAACGCTACCATCATGAGATTTATAGCTTTCTTCTGTTCAATGAGCTTTGTTTGAAAATTTTAACTCTGAAACTAGGTGATGATCATTTTTATTTTAGACACTGGCTAAGATTGCTGTTTTGGACTATTATTTCTAGTGTTAATAGCAATAATAGTACTGACGATGCTAATGAAAGATTTGTTGCTGAAAGGTTGACTTGAAATCCAACTCTTCATTTCTTGCCTCTCTCTCTTTCTCAAAAGAGCTGTCTTCCTTTTTCCCAAAGGTCAGGCCTCCATCTGAGCTAGAAATCCCATCTGTCTTATTTTGTCTGATACCTGCTCCACCAGAAACCACCTCTTCTGGCAGCCTGGAAGTCTCTTCCTTCACCGATATGCACAGTTTCCTCTTAAAGACCAAACAATTTCCCTTCCTTAAAAAAATTCTTCCACTTGATCTGATGGAGATCTTTAATCGCTTTTCAATTTACCTTTCTTTTACTGCCTGCCTTTCAAAATAAGTGGAACATATTAGTACCTTAATTTTCCTAACACCTATTTACACTTTGAAGACCATGTGCACCTTCACATTCTACAAAAATTGTTCTTTCACAGGTCACCAGAAACTTCCTTGTTCTCAAATTCAGTGTCCTTTACCTATTTCTGATATTGTCTAGCTTTTTCGCAACCTCTGAAGGTTTATAGTCTTCTCATTGTCAATTTCTGCCCTCTTCTCTTCCCCAACATCCAGCTTCTTTTCTTCCTCCTTTTCTGGGTTCTGTGTGGGTTTCTTTTCTCCTTGTTCCTACATGAGTTCTTGAACCCATATTCTTTCTCAACTCAGATTTATTCTCTTAGCCTCATCTCCATATAACTCTATATATAGATATGTAGAATTCTCTGGAATTCTTCAGTCTAACCATCACAGTTTTATCACATATCTCCAACTTCCATCTCAAAAATCTTCATTGATGTCATTGCTTTCCAAGCAACCTGGAAACTTGGTTCAAGTTCAAGACCCTCCATAATCAGCCCCTAACCTTTTTTCCTCCTTATCTTCCACTTCTCTCCTACATGATTTGTCTACTCCAACCAGACAGACCTACATATTACCCTTTGAAAACATCTCACACAGTGCCGTTGTGCCCGAATCATACCGTTTCTGCATGAAATCCTCTCCCTGTACTCATTGGCTGAACTTTCCTTTAACAAGTCCATTTCCTCCATCACCTTTTCTAGGAAGCCTGTTTCACTCCCTTTGAAATCTTACTGCCCTTTGTTATTGTGTCAGAATTAGATTCAATTGTAAGGGACACAAAACCCAGAATAATATCAGCTTATGTCTCTGTCACGTAGAAGAAATCTGGAGCTGGTAGAGTAGCTGCATGAGGTTGTCAGGGACCCAGTGCTCTTTTTACTTTTCTGGTCTGCCACCTTCAGCACATGGTTTCAACCTTAGTCCAAGATAGCTGTTTAGGCTCCAACCACAATGTCCACATTTCAGCTGGCAGAAAGAAAGAAGGGACAAGGAAGAAAGGGACCAAAAGGTGATGCAAGCTATCTTTTAGGAGAGTTTTCTGGAAGCTCCTCATATCTCTTCCACTTACATTTCATTGGTTGGAATTTAGTCATTTGGACAAACCTAGGTTGAAGGAAGGTTGGGAAGGGAAGTCTTTACTCTGTAGCCGTGTGCCCTGCAGAAAAGTAGGGACTCTATTGTTAATAAAGGAAGGAGGGATAGTGGAGTTGAAAACTAACAATCTGTGCCATAGGTATTTATTGTTGGATCCTGGTGAATGAGTTAGAGCACGGTATTGTGGGAAGAGTATAGGCTCTGGAGGTATAGTGGTCTGGATTTAAATCACATTCTGGCATTCTGGTTAAACCTGGTAGACTGAGCCCAAATGTCTGTGTCCTTTCCCTCCTGAAACTCCACTGAAATGATACCAAATAAATTTGAAGAAAAATAAAAGCATAAATCTACAAGAAGAAAGAGAGAGGGCACACAACAACAATTGATAAGAGATGTCAATACATTAGTGGAAAATGGAAGGCTGACCAACAAATGGTAACTGATCTAGCAGAGTACAAGTGAAAAGTAGGACCTACAGAGGAAAACAGCTCTGAGAAGCAAGATAGTTTGCCCTGTAAGACCCTGTTAGGAGCCTAGAGACAAAAAAGTGCCATTAAAAGGGGATGTGACTCTCAAAGCTTAAGATAAGGAGATTGATAGAAAGTCAGTTTACATAACACTCAGAACCCACAAAGTCCTCCCCCAAAGTAGTCAGTTAGCTTCTTTTCCTCTCCCCCTGGAGACAGCCAGAGGTTTCGTCCCCAGAGAGATGAAAGAACAGACCCTGGACTGAGGGAACTGCATGGTGGAAATGAGTTACAGAGCCAGAACAGGGAATAAAATGAAATGGAACAAGCCTCTGGATTGAAAACCCATAGCTCAGTCACCCAGAAGCTAGGAGTTCATAAGCCATAAACCCAGGGCTGTCAGATTTAGCAAATAGAAATACAAGAATCCTAGTTAAATTTGAATTTCATATAAGCAAGGAACAATATTTAGTATAGCTATGTCCTGTGTAGTGCGGGGGGTGGGGGGTGGGGTAGGGGGCACATACATACAACTCTTGCTTGGCCTTTTAATGCCTGACCATTACAAACAGTACCAAGGATCACAGAACACTTTGTGAAAGCCTCCCATATGAAATACAGAAGCCAAAGCAAATAGGAAAAAATGAAATTCAGAGAAAACAGGGAGAGAAAGAAAACAAAACCCCCGAACAATTATTAATATCCTTAGACAGCTAAGATAGTGCATCCATGAAACAAGAACAGCATGCTTTATAAAATAATAGGAGCAACCACAGATGAAACAGCTTTTGGTAGGTTAAAAATAAGATAGCCAAAATAAATAAAACTAAAGCACTGGGGAAATATAGTCAAAGGACAAACAGACAGCAATGTGGAAAACATTGTTTTGTTTCATTATATATATTTTTAGGATTGTTTGATGTGTTAACTGTGTGCATGGATTACCTTGATAAATATAAATTTTAATATATATTTTCAAAACAAAAATTCCAACTCTGCCACTACCTGGCTGTGTGTCATCAGACAAATTATTCACCTCTCTGAGCCTCTTTTCTTCATATGTAAAATTGAGATAACAATACCAATGTTATCTGCCTTATAAACATCTTACATCTCGTAAATGCCTTGTATGTCTTATAAATGGTGACATCTACAACCTCATTGCTTTATCCCCCATATATTTTGCTTGTTTTGTGACCCTCATGATTGACTTAACTATCCTGATCGTCTATCGTTTTCTGAAACGATGCTCCTTGATTTGGAATTTATGGAGGCCTATACCCCTTTAATGTTTTTCTTTCCTGTCCTGACACTTGCAGGATTTTGTGTTATTTTTCTCAAAGTAGAAACATTTTCCCAAGCCAAGTTTCCAAGTAACTTCTAAGGGGGGAGAAAAACCTCACAGTTGGAGTCCATTTATCAAGGCCTGTTAGGGACGTGTGGAATCACTGAGTGACCGCTGGGACGCAGCCAAGGAAGTTGGTTGTGACTCCTTTTTCTCATTACTCTGTTCTTATCTTACCGCTGCAGCCCCTGCTGTTTGCTGACTCCCAAAGAAGCTGGATTGTTCTCTTTTTGTCAGCATTATTGTCTCCGGAGTTTCCGAATAGCTGCTCATTCCCTAATCTAGACCTTCAGGTGGCTGATTCACTTGCCTGTCTAAAGTTGCATTAAAGCGTTGCCATATTTTTAGCCAAAACAATCCTTAGGGGTTAATGAGGGGAACAGCAGCCACTATAGACTGTCACCCAGATGCATTTATTTCACAGATATACAATGGTGGAACTAGAAGGAATGTTAGAAGTGATGTAATCCGATTCATCTCCTTTATTTTGTAGATCAGGTACTGAACTCCAAAAGGTTAAACAGTGTAGCTTGGGTCACATAGCTAATTAATGGCTAAACTGAAACCTCGTCTTTCAGGGTTTTTTCCACAATCACTGTATTCCTTCCCTAAGGAATGAGTCAAGAAATAGTCATCATTTGAGTTGGAGATACATTTTATGGAATATTCACCTTCCCAGGTGTATATCAAGCAGTTTAATTTGAAAACCAGCATGGGTTCCCTGCACCCTCTCCCAAAGCAGAGCTGGAGTCAAGGGCTTGCATGCTGGTAGCATAGTTTGGAAGTGACATCAGGAATAGGAGTGGGGGTCTGGGACAGTGATGCGGGAGGTCGGAAAGCTACTGCCAGGATGTGTTTCCTTGTTGGTTGTTCTTGTGGTCAACTGGGCTTGATCCTGCAGGAACGGTCTGAAACGTCTCAGATGCAGCACCTCAAGATTATCCACCCACCTCCTTCCTTTATCAGCCAGGGTTATTCCACGGCTGTTAACTCCCAGGACTTGGGACTTTCAGGAGGTGCGCACCTGAGGGCTGGGGATTCTCTAGCAGTCCCTATCCCCCACGCGGAGTGAGCAGCAACCCGGCAGAAAGTAAGCCAGGTACCAGGCAGCCTGGGCAGGAACCTGGTGCAGCAATGGCTGGAGAAAGGTGGGCCAAGAAGGTGTGGGGTGGTCTGGCACAACTTCTCTCCAAGATTCTGGGGTGTCACTGGTTCCATTCCCACAGCTACTCAGATTGAAAGTCATGACACTGTTGAGGTCAACTAATAAGGAGGCTCACTGCCTTCCTCCCCTAGGAAAGGAAAAACACTCTAGAAAGAGCCAGTGCGGGCAGGGAGATGCTCTTTTGGACCTTTTGGAGAGAAGTTTATGATCCATTCCC